CAATTTGTCTACTAGATGATATTTTAAATAACACTGTTCAGCGCACAATTTGTCTCCTAATAACCATTGGCTGATTCTTAGAGAACGTTACTTCACAAACACGAATCCAAAAACTCGTGTGATTTTTAGCAAAATTGAAGTACATATTGCACGAGAACTGGGAACGTTATAAAGATCATATTGGTGTGAAACATAGAGAAAAGATTCTTGCATATTTCAGTATATGTGGGGTGTTTACAAGTGGGGTCAGGTAGATACTATGGCTAAAAATAAGACGAAAATCAAGAATAATGAAATTACGTGGAAGGGTTCGTTGCCGAGAAAATTGAATTCAAATATCATTGAGTACAAGAGTACTTATTCAATAACCGACGTCACGTATTACGTAACAGACCGCTATTACGTCCGGTTTTGTACTTGGTACAATATAATATCAGGGCTTGTTTACTATTGGAATAGGATTATTCTTGGCTCGTATCGAATTGGAACATAATACAGTGAACAAAGTTTGCACAGGGACATTAATAATAATTTAATATCAGGAACTTAGGACTCTGTTACTAATATTAAAAGTAAGTTAAAAATTTAGACGGATAGTAAAAAATAAAAAAACCAGTAATACAACCACGAGAGAACCTTTAGTTTTGGTATACACGATATAATTTAATAAACATATAAAATAACAACAAAATTCGTATAGGTACATTCGTTTGAAGTGTTATAAAATAACCATAATTGTAACATTAGCAATTAATATTTTCACCATTACATTTTATTACTTTATATACCCTATTCTTCACACTACAAACTAACTTTTGTAATGTCGTAACATTAATCCTTACCCCATTCTTACCCTATAGCAGTTTCCAACTATTTCACGATATTATACTGCTTATTATTTTTATATATCGCTCTTGATATATGATAATATAACCTCCATAGGTTTTCTATGGGGTTCAAATCAGGGAAATGTGTAGGCCACGTCATAAATGGCAAATCTTTTTGCTGAAACCATTCTTTTGTCTTCTTAAGACTGTGTCTACAGCAGCGTTATCTTGTTGAAAAATTCTAGAGTTCTACATCATGATACGTATCTATTTCTATTCGTTCTTCCGTTCGGAACATAGAATTTTTCTCGTCGCATTCTGATAGAACAGCAATTGTTTTCAATTACTTGTAAAATAAAATATTGAACACTCCTAATACTTACATTCTCTGAATTATGAACGATGTTTCTCGTGTAACTGATGCTAATGTACTAAATAAACGTTACTGTCTTTATGCAAATTTTATAACCTCGGCAGATATCCTCTCTCTTGAATCGGTTTTTACGAACGTGAAAATCCGGAGTTTCTTTACAACATCGCATCACAGTAAACGTATTTTAGTATTACTAAAGTTTCCGACTTATAATGAATGAAAGTGTATAGAATGGATTAACCTTTTTCAGTAAATCGTAATGTTCCTGTACAAATTTCGTTCACTGTTTGTACGCACAGTATGTTCGTCTTCTATACTTATCGATTGAAACGGATTAATAAAAGTTCGCAAAGATCCTGAGAAATTCAACTCTACCGAAATGGTATTTATTCTACAACCACTAGTATTACCAGTCAATTAATATTTCCTCCGTGAAAGTCACTTTTCATCGGAATTCAATTAAATCGCAATGATCGCTACCATTGTCAATCGATTTCAGGAACTAACGTGTACCTTAGAGTGAGAATGAATGATTATGATAGAGGCGTCACGGGATGTAGGAAAAAGCACCTCAACATATGGTTGAGGACCGTGGGTGAATGTGTGATCGCTTTGCCATT